AGCCCCTGCCTGACCGCGGGCCACGTGCCAGCGTCCCCCTGTACCCACATCCAGTGAGATGCACTTACATCCACACACACACTTCGTCCGTATCTGCACTCACAGGCTCAGGTTTGTGCACGTGCACACGGGTGTACACGTATGCCCACACGCCTGCATGCAAAACGCGACCAGCCTCTTGAGGTCAGTCCTCAGGGTCTTTATCTGGTGGCGTCATCCTGAAGCAGGGGGCCCCCTGCACACTCACTTCTCAGCAGGTGGAGCTCATACCCCCCAGGGAAGGCTCTGCTCTCACTGTTTTTAGCAGGTGCCTGGGGGCGTGGCCCGCGAAGCCCCGATCATGCGTGTGTTCTCAGATGGGTCAGCATTCTCCTCCAACCACCGGCGCCACGTTTTCACGTTCTTGGCTTTTTCGTTTTCCGCTCCCCTTAACGAGGTCTCTGGGGCAGCAGGTCAGTGTCTTTGCGACACGCTGTACGTCTCTGCACCGCGGTGTCGTAGGCACGAGTTGGCGTGACAGCTGATCCGCGGGCCCTCCCCACGTGGACACCGGCCCCGAAGCCGCCACTGTGGTGCTGTGCCCTCCCACGTCAGACCCTGCAACTTTCCTTCTCGTCTGGGAGGGAAGGCGTGTGGATGCAGGAAACCCTTCTGGGGGCGGGACCCTCGTGGGCGCGGGCGCAGCTTCCCTGCTTCTGTGAGGATTCAGGACCTGCTGTGGCAACTGCACTCATGCTACATGGGGTTGCAATCCCCGTTCGCCACAGGTTTGGGGTCAAAAGGGAATCCTGTCGTTGAGCTGGGCTTCTCTCCCTTTGTGGTTTGTTTAGGCCTCGTGGGAAGATGCGAATTTCACACGGGGGTGAAACGTGCCATTTCCCTTTGAACGGATGGCTCTGCCCAAGCCGACCCGAACGACCAACTGAGCAGTGGGCAGTGTCCCTCGGCTGGCCGTGTCCCCACAGCCTTGTAGCGCGTGTGCAGTGGCAGTGCTCGAAAGGACTTGCCCCAGTTGTCACTCGCCTGTCACTGCCCTGTCAGTGCTGAGGTGAGCACAGGAGCTAAAAACAAACATTTTTACTTGTGGAAAACTTAGCAGCTCTTACACCTTGAAAACGGAATAATACATTTTGTTTCGTTTAGTTGCAGCAAAGAGAGGTCATTGTTATGACAGGTAATTTTATAAATATTGTTTTGACAGACACTGAACGTGCCAGAGGCAGCAAGCCCATGCAGGGGAACATGTGAAGTATTCAAACGACTTTCCTGAAAATGAACTTCATGTTTTAAATAATAGATGTTTCTCTCCCAGGATAAACCTTAAATATTCCCATTTTCACTGAAATGACATGTTTTTAAAAGGATGGATTTCTACCCACAGTCCGCTGTGTTCCACATGCTCTCAGGGAGGCGCCGCAGTGCGGCCCCGGGGGACATGGAGACTCTCATTTCCAAATCATGTGACTGCAGTGGGGCCGCTCCTCACACTGTGGAACACGCCTTAGCCACACGAGAAACCGTTTTGGCTAGAGACTCATTTACATCTTATTGTGTTAAATGTCACAGAATGAAGCCACAAGTGGCAAAAATTGTCCCTCAATCAGGTTCTGATTTTACTTTTATGTTTCCTGTTATAAAAATGTAGATTTGAGTCCGTCACAGCATAAAGGTTTGTAACTCATTAAATTGACAAAGGACTGAAGCACCCTCCCCCGCAAGGACACGGGAAGTCGAGCTGGCCGGACAAGCTGGTCTTGGCCGCAACCCTGACCCAACGCCGTTCATGTGGGCATACTCGTGTGTTCACATGGGAAGGAAACGTTTCAGCTGGGAAAGGAGAGGCATTTCGTTTCTGTAGGATTAAAGCAACATCACCAAGAACCACATCGAAACGGGTGTTGTGTGCAGGCTCTCTTTTTTGGCCTCATTGAGGTCCTTGTGTGCACGGGGTCATGGGACAGCGAGTGCACGCGCAGGGCTGAGAGGAGCCGTCCTGTGTCCTCGCCATACGTGCCGACCACACGGCTGCGGCCTCTTCCGGCCCTCCGCGGAGACTCAGGCCCGTGTCAGCTGCTCAGCCCGTATGCACACACCTGTAAGACACGTGTGTAGTCTCTGTGCATCAGGCGCCTGTGGATCTGGATGAAAGTACAGTTGTTTCAATATGAAAAAGCCACTTTGACGATGACCACATCCACAGATGCGTGGAACCCTGTCTCTGGCAGAAAACGATGAAAACAGCATGCCCAATGCACGTGTTTCTCTCCCAACTTCCCGACCAAGCACAGCACTCTGCAGTGTGTCTGGAAAGCCCTGATGTGAGTGTGTGTGTGTGCACGTGCCCATGGGGTCTGAGTGTGTGAGTGTGCAAGCGGTGTGCGTGTTGTGTGTTTGGATGTGTGTGAGTGCACAGGTGTGTGCGTGGGTGCGTGTGGGGTCTGAGTGTGCGAGTGTGCATGCGGTGTGCGTGTTGTGTGTGAGTGCACAGGTGCATGCTGCGTGGACGTGGGCAGGACACTTGGGAACACTTCTTGCTCCCCGTCCATGCATACCCTCCTGCACTGAGCACCTGTCTCCGGAAGATTCCCCAGGTGATGGTCAGAGTCTCACTTAACTGAGACGTGGGGCACACGGGACACCCGGCCCTCAGCCTCACCCAGTGGCCTCACTCAGGAGCGCCCGGTTCTTATCTGCCCTGGGAGGTGGCAGGCTGGGCCTGGCATTCATGTTGCACACACATTCATGTGTGCAAATCTGCCTCCTGAACAGTCTCATTGTGTGGATCCTCTTCTGGGAACTCAAAACTTGTAAGTGATTTATTTTCTAATTAAGTCAAAACAGTAAGTAAATGAGTCTGGTATCAGCGTGGTTTTGATTAATGGCTCGCTGCTGATTTGAACTACACTTGGGGCAGCAGGTGGTTGCTCCTCTGGGTTAATGGATTCTAGGGTTGGATCTCCATTCTTAATCGCCAATATGACATTGGAAACATTTGTGTTGAAGCTTCTAAGTCGGGTTGAGGACGAAGGCAGTCACGGATCTGGAACAGATGTTGTGATGCACTGCGGCTGCTGATGGGGAAACAGAAGCTGGCTCTCACAAACCTCCAAGCAGCACGGCCTTGCCGTGTCTTCCTCCCCAAGCTGGGGCACCCCTAGGGAGGCTTGGGCTCTCACCCCATGTGGACAGTGATGTGCGTCCACGTGGCACATGGACACCTGCATTCTCCAGGAAACGAAACATGCGCTGCCTGACGCTGGGGAAGAGCTTACCTCCTCACCTCCTCACGGGCGGCTGACGAGCGTGCGCCTTTCAGGTTCCAGTGGCGTCTCGCTGGCCATCTCCTGGTTTCTCGGAAGAGGCAGTGACAACGACGGTGAGTGGTGGGCTGGCCACATCACAGCGGAAGCTGCGGCTGTGCCTGCCAAGCCTGCGGAGACCAGCCCCACTGCCCGCGCCGGTGTCCCACGTCTGGGCCGCTGTTCCTGCTCCTGGAGTTTGTTCTCAAATCGGGACATTGACACGCATTTACAAACCTCGCTGGAATTGCTGCGAGGCTGAGGAACGTGGTACAGAGCGTGAGGGTTGGGCTCCCTCCACGGTCCTCCTGCCTGTGGAGAAATCCCCGTCTACGTTCACGCCGGAGTCTGTCTCTCCCTGTGACACCCCGTTGGCGGTCTTCGCCTCAAGTCCCCTCCCGGCTGCCCCGCTCCCAGGGACGCCCTCTGTCATTCCCGCTGGTGTTTGCCTCCATGCTTGGCCCCCTGAGGGCACGGTGGCCACCTGTCCCCGTTGCCCGGGCCAGCGCCACCGGGCAGGACCTTGTGAGCCTGCACCTGCCTCCTCGGGGTGGGTGAGGCGACCTCAGGGTGGCCTCCTCACGGCCGGCATGGAGGCAGAGCCTGGGTGTCTGCGTGGGCGCCCTCACGCCTCCGGCCCCCCCGCGTGTGCCTCGCCTGCCGGCACCGCAGCAGGGTGCTGTGGGGTGTTCACCGGGCGTCCGGCTCTCACGGCGGCCCTGTGGGTGGGATGGTGAGGGTGTGTGTCCACACTGCAGGCCGCCCTTCCATAGGTTCTCGGAGAGCCCCAGCTGCCGGCCGGCCGCACAAGCATGGGCGGACGACCCTGGCCTCTGTGCTTATTCCCAGCACTGGTAGTGTTCCCATACGCCTGTCACCACGGCGTTGGACTGTGGCGTTAGAGCGACTCCCTGTTGTCAAGGGAAGCAAGCATGAAAATGAAAAGCAGGAGACGCGGAACAGCTTGGGGGTGCCAGGCCCTTTCTAGGCTCCAGGCTCCGCTCTGGGGGCGCAAGCTGCCAGGCACGGGGCCGCGTTTAGCCGTCACCTGCCCCTGGAGGGGACAGGCCCTGAGCCAGGAGAAAGGGGCCCACCGTGTTTATGGCTGTTTGTCTGCAACTGTCCTCTTTGCTGATAGGACGGTTGTGAGTGAGAAAGGGGACCCTGCCCTGCCCGGTGCACATCTGAATTTATTAGGGCAAGAGTTTCTGCAACTATCTTGGCGCTGCCCTAGGTTCCTGGGGGTGCGAGCCACACACGGTCCTTACAGCAGACACTTGCCAGGCGGAGAGCAGACCGCGCCATCACAAGCTGCTGGCAGAGGGAGGAGGTGGGCTGGAGGAGAGGCTTGGTGGGGAGGCAGGGCCCTCCCAGCTGCTGCTGCTGCAGGAGTTGAGCACAGCCACATGTGGCCACATCCACGTCCCGGGTGCTGCTCATAGTGGTGCTGCAGCACGTGTGCGAGATGCGTGCGTGCAGTACACGTGGGTGCGTGTGTTTGAACGGAGGTGACAGGAGTGCTCACAGCTGACACGTGACCATGAGTAGATCATAGAGACGCAGCCGGGGGCTGGGCTATGGGGGTTACTTAGCACCTAGCACTTGCTGCGCGATGTCCTTGTGAATTAGTCTCTGCTTATAAATATTTCTGAGCCGTGGGCGTGTAGGGTGCTTAGTGGGGTGTTCTTGTTCTCTTGCCAGCTACACGGCTACTTGGAGAATGAGCCACTCACACTACAGCTGTTCATTGGGACGGCCGACGACCGCCTGCTGAGACCCCACGCCTTCTACCAGGTCCACCGGATCACAGGCAAGACCGTCTCCACCACCAGTCACGAAGCCATCCTCTCCAACACCAAAGTCTTGGAAATCCCACTGCTACCAGAGAACAACATGCGAGCCATGTAAGCTGTGCACCCGCCTGGGGCGGTCGGGGGGTGGGTGCTGGGCCGTGGGGCTGCGCGTGCGTGGCTGGGGTGCTGGGGTGTGCGTGGCTGGGGCAGTTGGGGCAGGTACTGGGCGGTGTGGCCTGCATGCCCATCTCTCTGCCCTGGGCTCAGCACCCACGTAAACCATAGATCCGTAGGCTGATGGGTTTTTGTAGGGCTTCTGCCGCTGTGCACGTGGTACTTGAATAGTTCGGTCCCCATGGCCAGTCCCCCCTCATGCTTGCGTTCACCTCCTGAACACGACACCTGTTTATTTCTGAGTTCGGTGGTGACCAGATGCAAAAACTGAAAACGGAAGGAGCACAGTCTACGTGGACCCAGTTCTCCCTGGGTGGTTCTGTCGTCCCTGACGCGAGTGGCTCTGACGTGCGTCTGGACTGCCCTCGTGGCTCCGTGGAAGCTGTCTCTAAGCTGATGATTGACCTCCTCGTGTGCAAAGAGGCCCATGTTCACAGCCTCCCCGCTGCCTCCTCCCCTGCTCCCTCCCACTGTTGGGCGCCCCACACTCCAATCCCAGGGTGTGAAGAGCGGGGGCCCGTGGCCGGGCTGGGGGCGGAGCGGGGCACCCTGTGTCGTGCGTCAGGAACTGAGAGACAGGTGTGGACTCTTTTCCTTGTTCCGGGTAGTGTGGACTGTGCTGGGATTCTGAAGCTTCGAAACTCGGACATCGAGCTGCGGAAAGGGGAGACGGATATCGGGAGGAAGAACACCAGGGTGAGGCTTGTCTTCCGGGTCCACATCCCACAGCCCAACGGCCGGACATTGTCCCTGCAAGTGGCCTCCAACCCCATCGAGTGCTGTGAGTATCGGAGCTGGTGCCGTGTCCCATGCTCTGTTTTGTGGCCCCTTTCCTGTCTTGATTGTTCATGGAGACTCGTGGACTGGACTCACGTGGGCATCACTCTCACATCCCTTGCCTGTCGCGACGACTCCTGAGGAGCTCGCTGTGCTGGGTTCAGGTTCGCAGGTTGTGCATGTGGCGGGCCCACCTGCTCCCGGCGCCCGCGCGGAAAAGAGGGCAGTTTGTCCGAAACCCCGAGCTGCTTGCACTCGCCACGTGTGAGCTAATCCCCTGCGTATCAGAAACCCGAGCAGCGGGATTTTGGCGTCTGGTCCGTGGGGTCCAGCGAATCTAAGTTTGTCGGCCCGCGTCGGCCTCTCGCCTTCCCTGCCCGCCCCTGGTTTTCACTTCCCTTGTGGTGGGCATGATTCAGGTGCGTCCAGCCTTGGGCCTGAGCACCCTGCTCCTTTGGGGGCCCCTCTTCCTTCCCTCTCGGGGTGTGGCTGTCACAGGACACTCAACCTGCCCCCGCAGCTCACCTGCCCACCTGTCTCGGTGGGAGGGTCTGGGTTTGGTTCCCTCATCTCTGACCTGACTGACCCACCTCAGTACCCAGATTCCTTCCCTGCAGTGTGTCCTGTGGCCCCCCACGTGGAGCCCCACAGGCACCTGTCCCCACACCTCAGCACAGCCCAGGGGACCCGCCACAGGCCACTGCACGTGTCTGAAGCGTGGCCTCCTCCCTGCAGACCCGCTGGCTGGCTGAGAGCCACGGGTGCGCACCTGGCCGCAGAAGCTCCTGCCCGGGAACGTTGGTGGCCTCACCGCACTGTCCTCCCCAGATGACCTGACCTCCCTGCACTCCGTGCCTTGTCCCAGCCCCTCGGGTCCTGCGGCTCCTGGCTCTGACAGGACCGAGAGCCCCGAGACCCCACCCCCGGTTTACATGGGGCCCGCGCCCCCGCAGCGCCTGGGTCGAGGTCTCGCTGTGGCTCCCAGTTTCAAGCCCGCGCTCCCTTCACCGTCCACACGGGTGCTCCTCTCCTAGAGCGGTGCGTCAGTGTGTCTGTTCTGCGCAGAGGCCGAGGGTCCCCCTGGGGTGGCATATTTACTCCACGGAGGCCCACGCACAGACCCACACGTGCACACATCCCCGCGTCTTGATTTTCCCGTGGGCACAAGTCAGTTGTGCGCCTGCCCTGGTCGTCTTTGCGTGATGACGCGAACCTGCCATGCAGCTGGTGCATCTCATGCTGGAGGCTGTCCGTGTAGGCGCCATGCCCCCCCACCAGACCCCGAGGCGGCGCCGGGAAGTGCCCGTTCCTGACAGACTGGCCGACCCCGGGCCCCCCCTCAGGATGGTGGCGTGAGGTGGGGCCGGGGCACATGCTCACTCTCCTGTTCTGACCCCATGCAGCCCAGCGGTCGGCCCAGGAGCTGCCCCTCGTGGAGAAGCAGAGCGCAGCCAGCTGCCCTGTCCTCGGTGGGAAGAAGATGGTCCTGTCTGGCCACAACTTTCTGCAAGACTCCAAGGTCATTTTCGTGGAGAAAGCACCAGGTACTTTCCTTGCAAACAGACCGTGGAGCGTGTCCCGCTTTGGGCGCTGGTGGGGATTGGTTCCTGGAGGCGGAGTGAGGCCGCTCGGTGGGGCTCTGCGTGCTGGAGAGCGGGAGCAGCTCACGTAGCTCTGGCCTGTCGGAGGCCTGCCTCCACTTGCTGCCCGTGGCCCCTTGCCCGGACTGGATGGACGTCTGCTGCTTGGCTCTGAGCAGCCCCTGCTCCTGGCCACCGCGGGGCCGTCTCGGGAAGCACTGTTCTGCTCTGCGTAGGAGGGCTTCTCGCCGCTCCGAGCCACGGCCTCTTGGCAGCGGGCATGTGGATGCAGAGCAGCCGTAGTAGACGGTGGGACCTGCATTTGGACCGGAGGCCCCTCCACACCCCTTGGCATCCTTCTGGCCCCTGTTCTGGGTGCCGCCCCGGGATGCAGAGGCGGGTGCTGCTCTTCTCCGTGTGACCGGTGCCTCCCAGCATTGTGTGTGTGTGTCAACTACTCTGCCTGTGTAGATGCGTTGGCAGGTATAGACCTTGTGTGTGTGTGTGTATGTGTGTGTGTGTCTGTGTGTGTGTGCAGTGGTGGAGCTACACGTGCAAGGTGAACAGTCTCTTCTTTCTGACGTTTGGTGATAAGGCCCTGGGTGTGCTTCTGCCCCGGGACGCCCGACCCATCTGGGGAGAGGCCACTGGGCACTCGCACAAATAACGCACAAGGGCGGGCGAGAGCGTGTGCAGGGCTCGCCTCTCTCTGCAGCTTTGATTCAGGAGCCAGGTCCCTGCCGAGCGTGCCCCGTGGGCATGAGGCCCTGCCCCCGACGGGGTGGCTCCTCCCCGTTTCCAAGGGGACTGATGCAGGACCCACGCTGACCACTGGAAACCACGGTGGGGTTCAGCCTCCACGACGGGGTCCTGATTTTGTGCCAAGAGCAGGAAGCTTAAGTGCCTCCATCAAAATGGGCTTGAAAGTCCTCCGTGTTCTGCGTGGTCTGCCTGTGTAATCATGCACATAATTGGGAAACATGTTGTGAATTATGGAGAAAACCGACTAAGCATAATGATCAGGAGAATTTGCGTTACTGGAACATTCTTCTTTAGAGGAGGCTAATTTTGAAATGATTTAACTTTTTGAGCTTTAAATGTGTAAATAAATGTGTTGGGGGAGGGTCACCCGACATGGTGCTCTGCTCACTGCACAGCAAGGCGACATGCTGGGACGTGGCCCAAGTTGCCGCTTTTCTGGTTGCACGAAGGAGAAGTCCACGTGGCTTCCTTCCCCGCCTCCCTGACCAGTCCTTATTGTGGTGCTGGGATGAGACCATGGGGGTCTCCTGGATGCTCCCTGCTCTGTGGGCGCCATGGGGCTCCTTCTGCAGGGCAGGCTCTCCCGGCCTGGCTGTCCTGCTCAGTCCTAGATCTCTGTTCCGTGGCCTGGTGGTGCCACGTGGAGGTTGGCCACGAGCCCACAGTGTGGGGACCTTAGTCCATGGATGCATAGCTGGCACCATCCTCCCCTGGGGACCCTCCAGCCACCACTCCTGAAGTGGCCTGGTGCCCCCAGCACGGCCGGCGAGACGCGGGTGTGGAGGGCGATGTGGTCGCAGGTTGTGCCCGACCCAAGTGGGTATAAATGCCGTGGTTACACGTCTGGATGCTGTCGCTCGCTCGAGTGTGTACTTAAGGTGGTTTGCTTGTTCACACGTGTGCACACGAGTTTTAACTCTGGGCAGAGGGGGCACTCGTGCTTCTAACGCATCCCGATGCACTCCATAACTGTAACTAGGCTTTTCCTAGTTGACTTTTTGTAGAAACCGTTAAAGGCAAATTAGGTTACCGTTGTCCCATAGGTTTTTGATGAGGTCTTTGGTCTGTGGCAAAGTTCAGTCTTTAAAGTGCTGTTTGGCGCTAAGGCCGGAATGTGATCAGGGAAACCCTCGTCACGGGAGTCCCGAGCGTGAGCCCGCCAGGAAGGCCCGTGTGGTCCCCGTTCTTCCGGCTGCTCTGGGTGTCCCGGGGGTGCCTACCGCCCTGTGTCTGGGCCTCCCTGCAGTCGCACTGGGCTTACGCACTAGTGACCCAGAGCTTTGTGAGGGTTTCAAGGAGTGGTTCTTTCTGCCTGGGGGCTGGCCACACCTGCTGTATCTCCCAGGAGAAGGAGGGGCATCTGGCACCTGTGCTGAGAGCAGCATTCAGCGTCTTCGTAGGCGGCGGTGCCAGCCCCGCTGGTGGGTGTTGGTGGGTCCCCGGGAGCCAGCCCAGGCAGGAGGAGGGGCTGGGGGGACCTCACAAGATGTGAGGTGTGTGAGAGCAGGTGTGTGAGAGCAGGTGTGTGAGCAGGTGCATGTCAAGGCATGAGAGCAGGTGTGTGAGAGCAGGTGTGTATCGTCTGTAATGAGCGTGAGTGGGGGCTGTGTGTGTGAGGATCCCCTCTGTTGTCGTGGGGGTGCAGCCGCCCGCGCTCCTGGCCACATCGTGTGGCAGGGACAGTGTGTGCGGGAGCCCCAGGTGCCCTGTGATCTTTCTGTCCGAGTCTGACCACAGCCGGGCAGAGCCGGCGGGGCTGCGTTCTGAGGGCTCTCGTCATCCAGGGTGCAGCGGCAGCCTGGCCGGCACCCGCACCTCCTCTCGCGCCCTGGTCCAGGGCCGTGGCCACGGGGCTATGGTTTCTACTTCCTTGGCGTGCTGGTTCTGAAAGGTTTCTGGAAATTGTGCAGACACAGACACCGCCAGCTGGTGGTGTGGCTCACACACGTGCAGGTCGTGACGTGGCGTGTGGAGGAAAGATGTCTCCGTCGGAGTTTCCCGGGGTGTTTGTGGGAGGCGGTGGGAGCACACATCTGTCCACTGAGACAGCCGCTGCCCCTTGCTCGCCCACGTCAGCGTGCCGAGGCCTGACCTCCACGGACGTTGTTCTCAGGCAGCCCGCTCTGGTGAGCGCTCCGCAGGGCCTGTGGCTGTGCGGGTGGGGGAAATAGCTGGTGCCCCTAGGACAACGTCACCTGTGACCCTACCTGAGACTGACGACTCTGAAGCCACGCTCATTTCCAGTGAGCCAGCATGCAGCCTCGAGAAGGCTTTTTCTTACGCTGTGGTCTCAGATCGAACGCTCGCCCCCCAGTTGTAAACTACGGGACATTTCGAGTGGTCTCGGGGTCTGCCCGTGTCCCAGAACCCCCTTCTCCTCCCCAGCTCAAGAGCTTCCCTTTACTGATGTCCCAGCATGCGCCCTGGTGCCCACTGGGGAGATGAGGCTTCAGCCCAGCCAGTGGGGATTCCCCTCCCTCACTGGGCTCTCCTGTGGGGACCCAACATGCTCTCCAGGCCCAGCATTCGAGAGACGGGGCGGCCAGTGGGGGCTCAGCATGCCCTTCCTGGGGCGTGGTGACCTGCGCTGGACAGTGTGCAGAGGACCCAGCATGGGCAGGAGGGCCTCTCCGCAGGCCCCCACGGGGCTTCCCGAGTCAGACCAGAGGCCTTGTGCCCTTGCCGGGAGAGGGTTGTCACTGAAATTTCCTTTCTCCAGGCTGGTGGCCAGTCTTTTCTTGTGCTTTGCCCCAAACCATGCCTGGGTTCTCCCAGCTCAGCACTGAAGTGACATCCAGAAAGTGGGCCCAGGTCCCTCCCCAGCAGGGAGGGTATTCTGTTCCAGATCCCGCCCTCTGGCACCCATGGGTCTTGATGGGAAGGGGCGCAGGAGTGGGTGGGTGTGCAGAGGATGCTGCTGGACGAGGTCACACAGGCTCCCTCTTCTTCCTCCTGTCGCAAGGCCGCCTACACGCACGCCACACACGCTTTGGAGAATGTACGTTTTACGCCTGCTTTGTTGAGGTGGAACTCACCAACCACTCAGGTCATCCATTTCAAGTTCAGGGGTCTTTGGTCTACTCGGCTAGGCAGCCATCTCACTAATTCAGACATTCCCAAACACCATCCACCCCATTCTCCCAGCCTGGCAGCTTCGAAGCCACTTCCTGTCCATGTGGACCCGCTGGTTCTGGACGCTGCCCTGCCCGGAGTGGCGGTATTGGTCCCCGCTGTGTCTGGCTTCTGCGCTGAGCGCATGTCTTCAGCTGTGTCCACACAGGGTGTGTGTTGAACTTCGTCCCTCTCGAGACTGCTATAGCATTCCATCATGTGGATGGACCACGTTGTGCTAACCCACTTGCAGTGTGGACATGGGGCTTGTGCCCACCTTTTGGGTCTGGTGCTCTCTCAAACACAGGTTCCTCTGTGGACGTGTGTGCCCTTCCCTGGGCGTTGCCCGGGTGTGGAGTCCTGGTCATTGGAAGGCCACGTTCAGCCGTGTGGGGACCAGCCAGGCTGAGCCCCATGGCAGGAGGCTGATTTCTTTCTCCTCTGGAATCTCTTCTGTAGGAAACAGGCTGCTTTGAGCGGTGTTGGGGGGGCCCCTGAGTGAGGCTTGGGGAGTTTCAGGGATTGAAGGAAGTGAAGACCGGCTGCGTGGAGGCGCTCCCCCTGGGTAGCACCCCCCAGTGCCGCCGACCCCGCATGCTCGAGAGTCAGCACCCTGTCTCTTCCGTGGCCCCCACAGGAGTGTGGAGGGGCCCCCTGTGTACACCTCCCCCACTGCTTTCCTTGACAGCCGCCCCGTTATGGCGTTCGGTGTGCAGCCTGCCCTCACGGCCGGCAGACAGGTGGGGAGGAGACCATGTGCACGTAGCCGTGGGCCCCGGGAACGTGTGTTCCACCACGCAGATGTGTGATTCGGTCTGATCGGGCCTCTGCTGTTTCCATCCTGCCCATTGGCTGCGTGACCAGCAAACCGCTTCAGCTGATGCTGTGACTTGGGAGGAAGCTGGTCACTTGGCGTCTGCGCCCCTGCTTGCCAGGGGCTCGAGTGGCTGTGTCTCAGGAAGCTCTGATGCTCCCGTGGAGGCTGGGGGCCCCACGTGTGGCCCCGTCCGGCCCCAAGCCGCCCCGGGAGCTGTGTGACTAAGAGCTGGGCTCAGAGGCTGCGCCAGCCACAAGCCAGCCGTGGAAGCCTCCAGGCGGGCGGGTGTGGTGGGGAAGCCTTTCCGATGACTCACACTGCAGGGAATTCCCTAATGATTCGGAATATTTTTACTTCTGGGCTTGTGCACAGTTTCCTACCGAGGACCCAGGGAGCTCTTGATAAGGTTGGGGCTCCCAGGCTCGTTTGGGGCTGGCCTTTCCCGTCCCCATAGAGTCTGGGGCTTTGCTTGGCACCCAGGCCAGGCCTGCCTTTGGCTGGAGCTCCACAGAAGCCGACGCCCAGAGGCCGGATGCCCAGAGGCCGGACAGCAGGGCCCGCACCACCAGCTCCTGCTGGAGACCAGCGACCCTTCCCTCTGGCGCTGGTACACGTGGGAAGCAATTTTGTAATTTCCTAGCGTCCACGATGGTGAGCCACGTTGAATGGCCTCAGTGCTTCCGTCTTCGGACAGTCAGTCTGTGTACACTTCTGTGTCTACACAAGTGGAAGCAGCTCATTTAGGACCCTCAATAGAAACAGGCCACACGCCTGCCCCCGTGGGCTGTGACTCAACCACAGATACAAAGACTCAGGGAAAACAGGGCCAGAGCCCAGGACCGTCCTCAGGTGGGCAGGAAAGTGCAGGCAACGAGCTCCTGCGCCGCGGGCCTTCCAGAAGCCGGCATTTAACGGGAGCATCTGGGTGCGTCTGTTTGTGCTCCGTTGACCTGCACCTAGCAGGGCTGGCGTGTGGGGGAGCTGAACGTAGCGTGCACTGTGGGCCTGTGTGGCTGGCCGGCCCTGAGCCGACGCTCTGACAAGGACTGGGACCCACCCGCCCAGGAGGGGCTGGAGTAGGAGGGCTCTGCTGTCACATTTGGCCCACGGGCTCCACAAAGCACCCCGTCAGCTTCGTGACGCGGATGAGCCCACAAGGTGTGTTCACAGCGAGGCCGGGTCTGCTCTCACCCCCCTCTCGGAGGGAAGATGGTGGGCGCCGGGTCCCTTTGTTGCTGAGCGCCCTGGCCCTGGCCCTCCCTGGGCCTCGGCTTCCCTCCTGCCCCCACTCCGATGGGAGGCCCAGACACTCGAGAATTCCTCAGGAAAGCCTGAGCTGTGCTTTCCACCAACAGACGGAGACCGGGCAGCAGCCAGAGCTGCCCCCAGCCGTCCAGGTTTGAGACCTAAAGCTGCGTTTCTCTGAAGCTGTTTTAAGAGGCACCGAGAACATGAGAGACTTGCTTACAGGAAGAATAATTTCGATTTCCTTAAGCGAGGGGTGGGTGGGGCCGCAGCCCGCGAGCCCAAGGCGGGTCTGGCCTACGCGGCCTAGACAAGCCTGCCCTGTCCCCACGTGGGGCACCTGGACCCCCATCCCCAGCTCACAATCATCCGTCAGCTTGGGGGGCTGGGAGGTTAAGGATGCTTCTGCGCTCTGGAAAGTGAGCGGCTTTGTGGAAGTCTTGGTTGGTGCCTTTGAGAACGGGACGGTGTATTTTTAGTTTCCAATTATGTTTTCCTGGAGGAGACACGGACACTGATCCCTTGGGCCACTGGTCTGCATTTTATCACCGAGTGGGTTCATCTGGTGGGTAATTTGCTCCGGGACCTTGGGTGTCCCGAGAGGCTGGTGTGGTCCTGGCAAGCCGACGCTGCTCTGGGCTCTGTGTGACTCACATTTCCTCCCTCTGTCTCCACCCTCCTCCCCTGCCCGCCCGCACTGTCAGGCAGAAAGAGGAGATTTTGTCTAATTTATTTATAATTTAGGATCTGTAAGACACATACATCTCTTCTTCGGAAACAGAGCAGGAGCAAAAACTAAGTATGTCTCGCTGTAATTGTTCGTTTGGGGACAGACTTCATAGAAGATGGGGAAGGGGGCGACCTTGGCAGGAGACTGACCTCAGTTAATTCAAAGTAACTACCCAGCCGGTCCCCACACAGTTGGCCGGCCATAGAGGGGCTTCCAAAGGCCAAGTACTCGGTTTGCAGACGTTCCCGCCAGTGTACTTCTCGAGGCTCCCTCCCTCGCAGGCCTGGGCCTGCAGAACACTGAGCCCTTTCAAGGCCTATTGGGAGCCTTTTTACTTTTTTTTAAACATGCAAACGGCCACTGGGGTAAGGTTAAAAATACCATGTTTTGCATTTCTGTATCCTGATGTGGCAAGAAGTCGTCACAGAAAGGATTTTATCGTTTAGCTGGCAGTTCCTGTGGGCAGAGGCAGGACCGTGGCTCCTGGGCTCTCACTCGTTAGAATAACTCTGCTCCCAAAACATACAGGCTTTGCAGGCACCCTCATTCGGCCCCTGCTCCCAGTGTTTGCACCTCAAGGCTGGAGTCACTGACAAGAGCCAGGACACACACCTGGGTCCAGGTCTGAGGACCATGCACTTTTTCCCAGGTCCTGGCATTTCTGCTGGGCTCGCACTCCCTTGACAAAGCTTGGCATGTAGAAACCCTCCCACATCTGGTGTGAGGCTGGGGCGGCGTGCCTGTGGACGTAGGCAGGGGGGCAGATTTCTGGGGCACTCGCTGCATGTGGCTCCCTCTCGCAGAGCTAGGGGCCTTCAGGCTCCGCCAGGCTCCCTGCCCCCACGTCTGGGCCTGGCACGTCCTCTCCGCCGGTGACCCACACACGACTGTTTGCTCTTACGAGTTAACAGCCAGGATGGCCTGAGCTAGTCAGAGGGCGGTGGTCTGTGGGGTCCCCTGTGCCTGGTGAAGGCACACGGTCTTGTGCGGTGGGCTTGACCAGGCATCCAGAGTGACCAGCTTCCCTCTACCCCTTTCTTCTAGACGGTCACCACATCTGGGAGATGGAGGCGAAGATGGACAGAGACCTGTGCAAGCCGGTAAGTACGGCCAGACATACAGCCCGTGGTGGCACCGGCTGGCTCTGGAGGCTGGGGGTTTCCTGCTCGCGGGAGCGACGAGACATACCAGATGGAATAACAGAGCACAAAGCGGACACTGTGGTAAAGCGCTTCCTGAAACAAGTGTTCTCAGGACACAACCCGCTGGAGGGCAGGACCCCTGCCCCCAGGAGGTGCTCCGTCCCCTGTGGGGACCGTGGGCTCACACCTGAGCCCCCCCGGTGATCGTTGTCACCAGGGGTCCCGTGGAAGCCGCTGTTCTGAGTATGAGTGGGCACCTCACCTGCCCCAGCATGCCAGGCTGCGTGAGGTTCCACCGGCGTCCTTGGCACCCATCACCAAGTAGACTCTTGTTTTGAATATGAACTAGATGCGAAGTCAGGTCTCATGGTGCCACTCAGATGTGTGCTCATTCCATCTGCCAGTTAGCTGGTGTGCTCGTAGGTGCCGGCAGGCTGCGGAGCAGGGGCCTGGCCTCGTGGAGGCCGCCGCGCATCTCTCAGGCCCACAGACACCCGGCGTGCATGCACCCACGCGGACACCCAGCCTCTCACAGCTCCTTGGTACTGCTTGTGCATGTGGGTACCTGCAAGGTCTTTCCTGCCCCCGTGGTTGTTGGTGGAGGAGGGAGGATGGTCGTCTACAGGTCTGCAGTTCATGCTAGCCGGCACACCGTTCCTCATCCCCGGACCTTTCACTGGAGCCTTATGTTTAAAGTGGATTTCTCATAGACAGCAAATAGCTGGGTCTGACAGTCCGTCTGTTCAGTGGTGTATTTAGAACATTGGTGTTCAAAGTGATTATTGACAGAGTGGGATTAACCTCTCCTATCGCGTGTGAGTGTGTTTTGCTTGGTCCCAGAAAAGCAGCAGGGGACTTCAGGCTGACCTAAGACTGTGGCCAGCAGGTGACTGAAGAGGTTCAAAGTCCTCCCAAGCTCTGTAGCTCAGCCCACTGACCATGGTGGACGGGCGTGTGTGGCCCCCAGCTAACCCTGCTGACCATGGACAGGTGTGTGTGGCCCCTAGCTCAGCCCACTCACCGTGGACAGGTGTGTGTGGCCATTCTCACAGTGCCGGGAAATGGGAAGTTGGCTTACTCAGAAATAGTGCTCAGGGCAGGAACATACTGTTTTCTCAGGGCTCCCGGGGGCCTTGGGGTGTTGTAGCAGGGTGCACAGGGAGCCTTTGGGTGGTGGGATTTCTGACGCCATTAGGTAGGTATCTCTGCCCTGCGGCTGGTGGGACTCTGAGTCACGAGGGGGACCCCCAGCCACCATGGAGGTAGCTGTCTGACGGCTGCTCACTCACGGCAGGCCCAGGACCGCCCGGGTCCTCACAGGTGGCTCTATCAGGATGAAGCATCTCTACTTGGGACTTCAGCTTCCTTTTCCAAAGCTCTAATCCAACGGGTGTCAGATGGAAAAGATCCCTCCCTGGCCCCAGGGGGAAGCCTGTGCTCTGGAGCTCGCTCCCTTCCCGTGATGTCCAGGCCTCCTCCTGCACTCGGGACCTCACACGCGCACACACGAGCTTCTTCGGGTTCTGTCCCGTTTCCCGCCTGCCTGAGAAGCCCCTGGCTCAGCAGGCCCACCAGGTGCAGCCAGCTCACGGGTTTGTCGTAAACAGACACCTGGCAGTAGGACAGACAGCTGCAGGCCGCCTCCAGCAGCCTCCTGCATGCGCCCCAGCCCGCGAGGGGGCCCACCCGTCTCCCTGGAGCAGGGAAGAAGCTGCAGAAATCCGGTGGCTTTCCATATTGAGACAATTCCTGCCCAGTTTGCAGGCTCAGCTTGAGTGTCATTGACTTTTCTACTGATTTTGAATAGTTGTGTAGTTTAATGGAAGCTTAACAGTTAACGATTGGGGGTTTTAAAAGAAACATAATAGTATGTGTGAATGAGGATGTACTTTAGATTTACTATCCATTCTTCTTATCTCTTAATCGAGGTTTACTTTTAAGTATTATTTCTAATCATAAAGGAGTATGGTGTTCATTGTGGAAATTTTGAAAATATAACAAAGTATAAAAAAGAAAGCAGGCACCTTGTGTAATTTTATCCCTGCTAACGTTTGGTCCTGCCAGGCTTTCCTTGGTGTGTGTGTGCATGTGGGTCTGGGTCTGGGTGTGTGAGTGCCTGTGCATGTCTGTGTGC